TGTAAACGTTGTGGTTACCGCCTACTCTGATGCTGATTGGGTTGGGTGTCCGAATAACCGTCGATCCACCGGGGGATATGCAATCTATCTTGGTTCGAATCTTCTTTCTTGGTCAGCAAGGAAAAAAAATACTGTCTCTCGCTCATCCACTGAGGCTGAGTACAAAGCCCTAGTTGATACTGTAGCTAAAGTAACCTGGCTTGAAACCTTATTACGAGAGCTAAGCATCCCTGTCATTGCAACACCAATTTTATGGTGTGACAATCTTGGTGCCACTTATTTGTCTACTAATCTTGTCTTCCATGCTCGCACAAAACATTTTGAGGTTGATTTTTACATTGTTAGAGAGAAGGTCGCTGCTAATAAACTATTAGTTTAGTTTATATCCACGGGTGATCAGATTGCGGATATATTCACTAAGCCATTGTCTTCACAAAGATTTGAGGGGCTAAGGTCCAAGCTTCAAGTCCTTACCTGATCTTAGCTTGTGGGGGAATACTAGACAACCCTTATATTAGTATAACGTCTACTATGTAAGTATATTTTAGTATATATCAGTATTGTAAAAATCGGTCTAGGCGGATGATTAATCAGGGATTAATCGCTAGGCGGTCTTCAACCGAATAAGATTAAGGCTAATCAATCGTCTTAATCGGTTTTGGTCAAAAGGGGTCAAAGTCAGAGCTACACGATTCTAATCGGTCCCACGCGGTCCTAGGCGAGCTAATCGGTCCCAGGCGGTCCTAGGCGAGCTAATCAGTCAAAATTTCAAATTATCAAAATTTTAAATATTAAACCAAAATTTTCAAAATTTCAAAAGTTCATAGTATTTCAATGTTCAACTAATATATAAAAAGTTAAAAAAAATTTTTTTAAGGTTTTGTAATACCCCGACTTTCAGGTACCAACCTTAAAGCTTTATTTGCATTGTGAAGGGCCCTACTTGACGAGTTGATGCCATGAATCGTCGAGTAGGAACGTTTTTCGGCCGCACCATTTAAGTGACCAACTCGACGAGCCAGTGGACCCGACTCGACAAGTTGGAGCTGGAGGATGAAACCCTAATTCTCAGGGTCTAGCACCCTATTTAAAGGATCATTAGCATCCCTTGGCCTCCTTTCACTATCCCGTTGAGCTCATAAACCGTAAATCGTGCTTACTCCCCATTTTTTGTGTGATTTTCAAGCTTGAGAGGTGATTTGGAAGAAGAAGGCTTGAAGTATAAGAGGATTGGAGCATAGAGGAGCTGGTGGATCTGACTCTTGTGCTTATTGGCAACATTTTGAAGGTAACAAGTCATTACCTTGACTTTCCTCCTTCTAGATCTCTTCATGCTTAAGATTAGGGCTTTTCTAGCATGTTTATGAACCATTTTCGGATATGGGCTAGGATTTGAAGTTGCAACTTCAGATCTGAACCTATTTTGGCCTCTATAGCTATAAAGTTTCTAGCTTTAGCAAGTATAAGCCACCCCCTTTGAGTAAACCCCATTTTAAGCTTGGATTTGGGATTCTAAGCCTTTAAGACCTTGCATGCACGTAAAGTTTGCAACTTTACATGGAATCTGTACCTTAGGAAGCTAGATCTACAATTTGGAGCTTCAGGGTGGCTTAAAATCGTCTAAATGAGTAATAGACTGAGGGGACTCGACGAGTCGGATGGAGATTGCCCGATGATAGTTTCTACATGGACTCGGCGAGTCAGTAAGACGACTCGACGAGTCAATTGGGGTTCTCCCGACTTTTGGACACACTTGAACTTGGCGAGTTGCCCGAAAACTCGGCGAGTCGACCAGGGTTTTATGACTTTGTGAGTTCTAGAGGAACTCGACGTGTCGGTATACTATACTCGACGAGTTGGGTCAACATGGACTATTAACCTTGAGCGTTGACTTTGACTTTGATAAGGGTTGACCAGTTGGACTTTTGAGGGCATTTTCGTAATTTGGGAAATTATGGGAATGGAGCATTGGTGGTTATAGGTATCGGGGTTTGGAGTTGTATTTGGAAGAGTTGACCATATCATTCCTAGCTACTTACGAGGTGGGTTTTCCTCATTATACTAAGGGGTCTAAGGCACCAAGGTCGGCCCACTGGATTTGATATCCTAATACTTATTGATATGTTGAGTATGAGTTAGCTATGCATCCTAGTTTGATATGCTAGTCTGTTAGATCTGTAGGATTACCTGTGAGATTATCTGATTATCTGTATGTGCACTTATCTATCATATATTGACATGTTGTGTGGGAATGGGTTGAGGTTGTAATGCTTGTGCGGTAGCTAACAAACCCCAGGAGCATTCGAGATACAAGCTGAGGGCCGAGTAGGGCATGCCAGACTCATATTGTGGGCTCAGGAGCATTCCAGATACAAGTTGAGGGCTGGGAAGGGCATACCAGACTCGTACTGTGGACTCAATGGCAAGCCAGATGTGAGCTGTGGGCCCGGAAGACAAACCAGACTCACACTGTGGGCTTAGGGGTAATCCAGTCTGTAAAGCTGTGGACCCATTGCATGCTTTTATGTTATTGTTGTTGTTGTTCTTATGGGAACCGTTTGTTATGTATCGGTATTTTGGGGGTAAATCACTAAGCCTTCGATCTTACTGATGTGCATGAAAGTACCCACTAATTTTAATATTTATAACCTAACAAACTTAAACTATGCATTTATAGGCAGTGTACCTAGTCAGATTATAGTATAGCTTGGGTAAGTCGGGTCGATCACAAGGAACGGTGTTACTAATTAATCTACTTGCTATCAAATTAACCTAATTATTAACAAGTTTAGAAAGGGTTTTATCTGATTTTACAAGAACAGACGAACTTAACTCAAATTCAATCAATAAGTAAAAACACTCTTGTCTAGTTCGAATCCACTTCGTCCTTATGGCTAGCTAATAATTATGGATTATCAAGTTGGTTTTAATTGTATTAGTAGTTTAAGTCTAACTTTACCAATAGTTAATTAATTCATGTAAAACTATGTATGGTCACACACAATTAAACACAGAACCAATTATAAATATGATTATGCTATGTAAGATTTATTATGTAAACGCAATTATAGTCATAATCCACGTTCTCTAGCATAACTAAGTTTATTTACTTTAATTACTAACTAAGATTGGTCAATCCTAGCTCTAATAATTTAATGTTCACTAAATTATTAGGTAAACAAGTTCATGCAGTTAATGGTCACTAAGCCACACAGAACATGAAATTAAGCAACTAGAGAAACAAACACAAGCATGCTAGGTAACTATGAATCAAACACAAGCAATTTACCAACTAAATAAATCCATATAAAATTAAGCTATTCATAAGTTGGAAGCTTCATCTAGCTAAACAAGAGTAGCTAGATTCAGCTGCTCATAATAGCAACTAACACACTGACACAAATCAAAGTATAATGAAACATGTTCCTATGTAACAAATAAGTAAACTAAATTATGGACCTTCACTCTTTTGGTGTTGAAAACCTTTTTCTAGGACTTTCTTTCTGCTCAAAATCGCCTTCTGGAATCTCTTTTTCTAGCCAAAAGTCTCTCTCCTTCGTAATGACCAAGAGTGCTTAAATATCCTTAAAAATCCCGCGCCACGTCGTGGCTATCTCTGCCACGTCGTGATCCCCAAGTTATCCGTATCGGGAAAGGACTCTTTCTTCACGCGATCTTTATCTTCTAGAATACTCATGCCACATCGTGGGTATCCATTCCATGTCGTGGTTTTAGTAATTTCCGTGGATTTCTTCATCTCTTGTGTTTCAAGTCTCCAATGTTCTATATATTGTCGCTTTTGGTCCCTCTCTTCGAAAATACTTCTAATTGACTACAAATAACAATTTAAGGTCATAAGTATCATTATTCTAAACATATTATCAACATATTAAGAAAAATGTACTTAAATATTGCCTAAAAACAGGTATAAATATGGGAATATCACTTACATTTATCGATTATTGTTTCAGGTACTTCAGATGACCATGGGAAGACGAAGGTCTGATCGTGCACCTCCTCGTATTTTGTGATTCATTTTGGGATACTTTTAACACTCAACTATTTGGAAACAATTTTGTAATAATTTAATGGTTCTGAACTAATTTAAAAAGTTTAAATTTGGCATGATTTTTATGGATGTTACATTTTTTCTCCAAAATTTTCAAATTTCTATGTTTTCAATTATACAAATACTCAATTTACTTCTTTTCTTAAGATATATTAAAATTTGAATAAGTGTTCTTATTAATTGGATGATAAATTGTTGTGCTTGTTAAACATATTATTAAACTTTTATGTTTATTTATTTTTATTCTTACAATTAAAGTTAGATTTATAGATTTTTGAATAATTTTCTTAATAATTAATGATCTCCGATTAATCCCCCTATGAATCCCCACCTAGCCGATTAATCTCTAGACCCAGTCCACCAATTAGCTAACGTCAAATGTTTTCTGCAATCTTGGTGTGTGTGTGTGTGTGTGTGTGTATATCCCTTATGTATTATGTTACTTATCAATAATACAATACGTTCATTGATAATTGATTAGATTTAATGTTATAATACACAAATACGTGAACATGTCTTGTTGTTTCTTGCATTTCACCAATCTGAAAACTTATAATTACAAGAAATAATAATGTACTTCAATTTATTTGTGTATTTTGACATCCTACTTTCAATTAATTCTTCAATTAAAGTTCGATGTTTTTCCATCAATAGAATTTTCTTTGTCGCAATGAAGAGACAAGTACACATAATATTCTTTTTTATTATTGTAATTATTTAAAGAATATCTAAGCACAATGTTTTGATAGAAATAAATGAATATAGATTGCTATAATAAACAATTGAAGGAGAAATCGGGTGTTGTGTTCATACTTTCTAACAAGGTTCCAGTTGCTTTGGCGGTGCTAAGCACCGTCGGTTTTGTTATGACTAATCAGGAATAGAACCGGCTATGGCCATCAATAGTTGGATAGGGGAATTCGATTGAGAAATGACGGGTATGCTTAAAGCTTTTAATCAATCTCTTAATGAAATTTGTATACTTGGGGAGCTAAAAGGCCTAGAGGTTCTAAAGGTTAGAAGTACCGGAATTAAAGTGATTCCTAAAGAGATAGGTGAATTGACCAACTTAAGGTTGTTGGATGCGGGTGACTGTTATTATTTATTTGATGTAACACTAGGTGTCATATCAAAGCTCACTTGGTTGGAAGAGTTGTATATTGGAACTGATGAGAAGAACGCAATGTCTTGCCTTGGACTTACGGAAATAAGTAACTTGAAATCCATCAGAGCTCTGCATTTATCAATGAATTCAGATGGTTGTCATATTTTTCCCGAAGGCACCTACTTCGAAAAGTTGAAAGAATTCTTTTTTTCAATTTTTGGACGGCAAAAGTTCTTTTTTTGAGGAAGTATCAAAATTATATTTAACTCGTCGACTACACATTCAAGGGTCTGGCTTCCCATTCAAGATGCCAATCAAGAAACTGTTTCACGTAAGTGATGGTACAGTACTAAAGAGGATAAAAGATTTGGATAGCATCATACCAGAACTTTATGGAGAGAGTATTGATGAATTAAAGTCTATTCGATTGATTTATCGTGGGAATGTTTCATGCTTGGTGAAGACAATGAATGAGGATGCAATGCAATTAACCATTTAACAAAAAAACTTTAAACTAATTATATAAAATCACAAGAAATTTTTGACCAAGATTTTACTAATCATAGAAGTAGTTTGATACACATGGAATCATATGTTGTCAAGATTAGAGTTCCATACACATGGAATCTTACGTTCTCGAGATCATCTTAGGATCTTTGGAAACAAGTCGTGTGCGTCGGATAAAGATTGCAGTGGGGGCGGATGAGGAAGATCATGTGCGTTGTTCGTGTTTTTGAAACAAAATAATGTCTAAAGTGAATAATTAAAACTAAATACACTATCTATTTAAATAAGGGTCATATTTATCAATTAACCATAAAATTTTATGGATAGATAAAAATAGGCTATGGAAGAATAAATATCGGAAAAATGACTTATAAGCCCAATGAACTTTCAAAACCGTTCAAAAACCCCAATTATGTTTTGATTGTTCAAGAAAACCCAACGAACTTAATATTTTGTCTAAAAAAGCCCAACTAACTTACACTTTTGTTCGACTCTCATTAGGTTCAGCCGACTATTGAAAGGCAACGAATGACATGACTTATGAGTCTTGTTGTTAGTTGGCATTTTTTAGATAAAAGGTTAAGTTCGTTAGGTTTTCTTGAACAAACAAAATATAATTGAGGTTTTTTTAAGGGTTTGGAAACTTTGTTGGGCTTATAAATCATTTTCCCACTAAATATCCATATAACATATGAATGAAAATTTGTAATATACTTTTTACTATTCTATTTACAAGAACTATAAGTTTCATCTTAATAATTACGACATAAACATGATTTGATACAAATAGAATTGCATATGGTTTTAGGTTTAGCCAAGCACCATTGAGTTTGGAACTAACCTAAAAGATGTATAGGTAGTAATTCTAAAGATGGACAAGATGAAAAAAAGCTTATCTTGTCTTTTATCTTCATAATGAGTAAAATTTGAAGATTACAACACATCTTTACTTCCCCATTAATTTTGTCAATCCTCATATTTTTGTTTGTGTTGTATCTAAATAAAAAAGTAATAGCTAAGGGGTTTATTGTCAAAATATAAAATTAAAAAAAAAAGAAAAAAGAAAAAAGAAAAATGGTGGTGTAAAGTGTAAAGTAAAGTATGAGCAAAAGAAAAAGAAAAGATGGAGCATAAACTTTCAATACATTGTTTTTGGTATAATTGACTTACAAAGAAGCACTACCCAAAAAGCAATTAAAATCCACTACATATTTAAACAGGGGTATAGTTGTCATTGCACTATATATTTTAGTGGATTAATTAACTTCTTCCATGGAAGAATCAACACACTATTAGAACAGGGGAGGGGATATATTTTAGTCAACGGGAAAATGACTTAAAAGAACATCAAAGTTTTAAATTCCTTCAATAAAAACCATTCAACTATTACATGTTCAAAAAACACCATCAAACTAAAATATATGTTCAAAAAACACCAACAAAGTACATGTTCTATTAAAAAAAACATCATCTATATGGTTTGAGGTAACTTACATATTTAGTCGCTAACTTTTTTTTAACTCAAACGGTTCCTTTAGTTTAAATTTGCTTCAACTTTGGACTTGATCAAGTTAAAAGACTAATATACCCTTATTACTTTCAATTAACATTATTTTTAAGGGTTAATTACACGAATGATCCCTATGGTTTAGGGTAACTTGTACGTTTGGTCCCTAACTTATTTTTCTAACTCGGAAGGTCCATACTGTTTGTTTTTGTTACACGCTTGGTCCCTGTCTTACATAAAAAGTCTATTTTTCCCTTGATTTTTTAATTTATTTAAATAAACACACCCTCAATCTCATCTTCTCTCCTTACCTTACCTACTCTATCATTTTTCTCTATTTAAATAATTGTCTTTTTACGTAAGATAGGGACCAAACGCGTAACAAAAATAAACAATAGGGACCAAATGTGTAGCAATAACAAATAGTAGGGACCTTCCGAGTTAAAAAAATAAGTTAGTGACCAAACATGCAAATTACCCCAAACCATAGGGACCATTCGTGTAATTTACTCTATTTTTAATATTTATTAATTATTTATATACTTATGTATTATTATTATAAATATATCAATAGTATAAATAATTAACAAGTAATCAAAATAAATGTTAAATGAAACTAACAAGGGTATATTAGTCTTTTAAGTCAATCATGGTCCATAGGCAAAATAAATATAAACGTTAGGGACCATCCGAGTTAAGAAAAAAAAAGTCAGGGGCTAAAGATGTAAGGTACCCCAAACCATAGAGATAGTGTTTTTTGAACAGAACATGTACTTCGTTGGTGTTTTTTGAACATGTAATACTTAAATGGTGTTTTTTGAACAAATTTGAAACTTCGATAGTCTCCTAAGTCATCCCTTTAGTCGAGAACACCCATGATTTGCTCCAAGACCATTATTACCAAATACTAAGTGACAAAAAATGATAAGCGACTGCCAACTTCACTTTTTCTTTTTCTTTTCTTTGCCTTTTCCTTTTTCTTGGTCTTGGTCTTCCACCACACTTAACACTTTTTGTGTACAATATTCACTCTTATCGTTCACAGCTTTTCTTCATTCACCTACCATCTTCCATTCTTGGTCCATCATAATCTTCTTTTGTAAGCCAATCAACCACTCTCATCTTCATTTTTTGTACAATATTATGAATCAGGGAATTCGGTGTTTTGTTAATCGTAATATTGTTTTCCATATCTGAAGAAAGAATATATCTTCCTTTTTTTTTAGCATAAACGTTTCTTGTTTCAAGATCTGCTATATTGTCTGACTACTTTTCCATCCAAACCATCAAAAAAGAAAAGTAATCTAATTAGAATGGCAGAGGAGGTCACTAACAGTGTGGTTGGGAAAATAGTCGACTTGTTATTTAGTGCGGCTAAAAGGGAGATTGATTACATTCGAAATTACACTAAAAATGTTAACATCTTGAAGAATGAAGCTCAAAAGCTCACGGATATGAGGGATAGGATTCAACAACGAATCCATGCAGCTAAAGAAAATGGAGAAGCTCTCTTAGCTGGTGTGCAGAACTGGATGGAGAAGGCAGACACTGAAATATCCAAAGCGGGAGAGTTTCTTGAAGAAGAAGCCAACGCCAAGAAGACGTGCTTCAACTTACGACCTTGTGTCAATTTGGGCACCCTCCACCATTACAGTAAGATGTCGATAAACAAAACCCTTTTTCTTCTGCAGCAACAAAAAGATGGTCAAACTTACGAATCTTGTGTCTCCATTCCCACTCCCACCCCAAGATTTGTGGACCTTTACCAAACAAAGAATCTTGATGATATTGATACCCACAAGTTGGTGTTGAGGGAAATCATTGAAGCTATCAAAGATGAGAGCATACAAATGATTGGAATTTATGGATCTGGAGGTGTAGGGAAAACTACATTAGCCAAGGAAGTTGCTGCAGAAGTGAAGAATCTATTTGCAGACAATGTGTTTGTAACTGTCTCACAGACTGTAGACGTTAAAGAGATTAAAAATAATGTTGAAAAAGCTGCAAAGCGGATAATTAATGGGGAGAAGGTTCTAATCATTTTAGATGACATATGGGAAACGCTAGTCCTCCCTGAAGTGGGTATTCCATGTGGGAATAACTACATGAATTGCAAGATTTTGTTGACTTCTAGAAGGATGGATGTGTGTGAAGGGATGAATGTTGATAGGAATATCTGTGTAAACGCTTTGAAGAAGGAAGAAGCGTGGGTCCTCTTCAGACGTATAGTTGGTGATGAAAAGTTAGCGAACGACTCCAGTCTAGAGAAAATTGCAAAAGAGGTGACTGAAGAATGTGGTGGATTGCCCCTCATCATTCAAGCGGTGGGAAATGCTTTAAAAAATAAAAAAATTGATATTTGGGAGGCGGCACTTGACCGACTAAGAAAGCATGCCCCTCTAGAGATTGCTCCAGAGATAAGGAAAGCATTTACTCATTTGAAGCTGAGTTATGAATTACTTGACAGCAAAGAAGCTAAATTGTGCTTCTTACTCTGTAGCTTGTTCAAGGAAGATGGAATCATAGATATGTTAAGCTTAGCAAAATATGGAGTGGGTTTGCGGATATTTGAAAATTTGGATAGCATTCACGATGCAGAAAAAAGAGTCCGAATGGCAGTTGACACCCTCACATCCTCTTGCTTGTTATTGTCTGAGCCGGGAGACAAAGTAAAAATGCATGATGTTGTTCGTGACGTAGCTTTGTTAATAACTTCTTCTTCTGAAGGTGAAGAGAAGGAGAAGTTTTTAGTGGAGGCTGGAAAAGATTTGACAGAGTGGCAACCAAGAAACAGAACCTCAGATAGTTACACCAAGATCTCACTCATGGATAACTGCATTGAAAAGCTTCCAGATCATCAGCTTCATTTCCCAATCCTTGATACTTTTCTTATAGGAAGCAATGATCTTTCCATTATTCCTGATGATTTCTTTGGAGGCATGAAAGAAGTTAAAGTTTTAGATATGTCTTTGAATAACATCACATCCCTCCCACAATCACTGAAGCTGCTCAAAAAACTCATTACGCTCAATCTAAATTTCAATACATATCTCAATGAGATTTCTATAGTTGGGGAGCTAAAAGACCTTGAGATTCTAAAGGTTAGAGGGACTGGAATTAAAGTGATTCCTGAAGAGATCGGTCAATTGAACAACTTAAGGCTGTTGGATGCGGGGGAATGTAATGATTTATCTGATGTGACACCTAGTGTCATATCAAAGCTCACTTGGTTGGAAGAGTTGAATATTGGAACCGAAAAGAAGAACGCAGTGTCTCGCCTTGGTCTTATGGAAATAAGTAACTTGAAATCCTTCAGAGCTCTGCATTTGTTGATGGTCCCAGATGATTGTCATACTTTTCCCGAAGGCACCTACTTTGAACATTTGAAAGAATTCAGTTTTCGATTTTGGCACATCAAAACTTCTTTTTCTGAGGAACAATCAAAATTATATTTAAAACGTCTACTACACATTACAATGTCTGACTTCCCATTCAAGATGCCAATCAAGAAACTGTTTCAGGTAAGTGATGGTATAGTACTAGTGGCGATAGCAGGTTTGGATAACATCATACCAGACCTTTATGGAGAGAGTGTTGATGAATTGAAGTCCATTGAATTGCGTGATTGTGAGAATGTTTCATGCTTGGTGAAGATAATGAATGAGGATGCAACGCAAAGTTTTGTTGCATCGAATGACCTGAAGCTTGGTCAAAGGAAAACAACAAAGGAAAAGTATTTCTCCCAAGTGCAACAAATCTTTCTGAAATACCTTAATAACCTGAAGCTTCTTTTTAGTTGTTCAGTACAATATATAAGCTTGCGTAATCTACAAGTCATTAAAATTGTACATTGTGATTCCTTTTTGATGGTATTCCCATTAAGTGTAGCACAAGGGCTTTCCAATCTGAGACGTATAGAGATTTTGAGTTGTGACAGTTTGATGGTTGTGATTTCTGGTGGAGATGAGCAAACAACTGATAATGACATTGAGTTCCCTAAACTTACCCATATTGACCTTCTGGATTTGCCACAACTAAAGAGCTTCTACTCTGGGGATTCTACAGTCAAATATCCTTCTTTGGAGTTTATCGATGTGAAAATTTGTCCTAGCATGAAGAGATGGGGTTCTGGAGTCCACGATATGCCCAAAGTCAAATTTGGTGATGATCCAGAGATCCTTAATTTGTTCCATTAATCATCTTTTTGCCACTGAAGCTTTCATGCTCTACCTGGCTAAGATTAACACATAATCACACAAAATCAAGGTTTATTGTATAGTTCAGTAGCTTGAAACAACCATAGAAATCTAGGTTTATTGCAGTTCTGATGCTTCCAAATTTAAAATTGTGGCTCCAACAACCAACAATGTTCAAAGAGAGAAGCACAGAAGAGACAGCATATGCTCTTTAGCTTCTTTTTTTCCTCATAATATCGCCATGGCAATTCATCAAACAGTTGGTAAGCATCAACATTTTATCATTTGCCTATTAGCACATTTCCCAATTCATAACAGACATGATTCTAAACATTGATCAAATTTCAATGCACCTGAGTGAGAGACTTCGTAGTCGGCGTAGGGGTTTTCATCAAATTCCAGCAAAATATCTTCAAATTGAACTCTGGATGACCACAAAACCCTATAAAATTTCCCTTTTTAAAAATCTGCTAACAAATTTGATATTTCTTCGACTTTTTCAAATATAGGGATTCATTTCTTTTTTATTGTGTCGGATTTCTTTATGATTCTAAAGATTGATTATTTATTTTTGTAATAGGGTGTGAGATTAGAGTTAGCCACTTTCTGATTCTAAAGATTGTTTGTTGTGGGAAATGGATTTAGGTGTTCTCTGAAAATGAGTGAACTGAAAGTTTTTTTATAGACTGCAAATGGCGATGAAAACCCAGATATTGTAATTTACCCAGGTGCTAAACTCTATCTTTCTACTACTCTAATTTATATATTTTTTGTCAAACAGTCTTTTTCGTGTATAATAATTCATGTGTTTATCTAATTTGAGTTAGTAATTTACTCAACCCTGACTAGATTAGATGACTATCTTTTCGATTTTAGTCATCTATGGGTTTCTTGATCCCCTTAACCATTCTTCTTTTGGTTTTGAGTAATCTTTATTCCTCTTTCAAGTTGACAGAATGCCCAAAGTGAAATCAATAATTTGAGCGGTGAGGATTTTAAATGTGTTGTCTTACGATATTTTATATCTTTGTTAATTGAAATTCATCCATTTAATGCCCTTTTTGTGCCATTTTATCTTTTTGTAGGAAAGGGGATTGGGAGTATGCAAATTTGATGGACTAGCCAACTAAGGGTGTTGATTTAGATGAGAAATATAGGTAGATACCTAAAATGTTGTCAATAAATGGAGCATCAAGTAGAAATTGATACACAAAAAGTTAGGAATTTGTTAGAGCAAAATATGGATATTAGCATATTATTGTATCCATTTTGAAAGTTTCTTTAATGTGTAGACAATGCGTAATGTGTAGACAATGGTCAAGAAAAGACAAATGAAGATATTTCAGGCTACACACACAGGTTGGATATTATGAAAAAGCAATCAAGAGTATTTCGGTTGACCATAACCTAAACCAAAAAAAAATCTAAACCTTAACCGAAAAAATTGATTAACCCATATTGGACCGGTGTCTCTTTTCTTCTGTCTTTGTAAATTTAAGTTTTAATCTATGCTTATCGACTTATGTATTCATTTTTTATGAAGAAACTTCTGCATACATAATCTAAGGTCAGGTTTTCCCAATAAGTTACAGCTTAGTGCACACATCGAATACATTATCAAGATTTGTTATTGTCTGTGTCATATATATATCTTTATTACTTAATGTAACAACCAATTCCTCATTTCACTTAAGATTTAATTGAAAAATACCGTTTTAAAAATTCTTAGTTATTTCTTCTCATGTAATATTTCTTTTTACTATTTGGAATGGTAAAATTGGAAAAGGAATGGAATGGGTTATTCCATTGGAATTAAAAAAAATTGTTTTTCCTAATGGAATGGAATAGATTAATCATGGAGGACTCGGATTTCTCATTTTTTCTTAATTTTCATACCTTAGGTGGGAGGTGTTTCTTTTTTCATTTTCATCATAGAATGTAGTTGGAATTTGTAAGATAAGCCATTTTTATTTATAAGTTTATTTTATGAGAAATATTTTAAAATTTTAAGGATTTTGATTGATAACAAAAAATGAAACTACAATGTTATTTCATGTATCTTTTTAAATTCTTTGGTAGTTAAACAGCAACACTGGTGACCAAACATTTCTTTATCTAAATGTTAACTTCTTAATCTTTTTATCTCTAGGAAAAAAAAACTGTGCAAAATAGGATGTTATTATCAGTCTAAAGTAGGATGCTAAACTATACAAAGAACTTTAAGATATTCCTTATCGGGGTTTTTTTTTTTTTTTTTTTTTGGTAACCTACTTTATTTGTTTTTATATTTGCAAGATTGTACATCTGGTTTTTTTTTTATTAAAGTATTGTAGTTTGAAAAAACCTACCTGATGATATATGGTCCATTAGCACAACCTAGACTACTCTAGCACACCAGTCTGGCCTGGCACGCTCCTACCAGTCCTGCCTAGCGTTCACTTGCTAGCCTTGCTGGGGACTCTCTTGCCAGTCTTACTGGGACTCTCCTGCCAGCCCGACCAGATGCTCCCCTGCCATCCTTTCCTGGTGCGCGCCCGCCAGCCTTGTTTGAGGCGCGTCTGCTAGCCCCGCCCAACGCCTCCGGGTGGCCTTGCCCAGCTCCTTGCTAGTTGGGCCTGAATTGGACTGACCCATTTCCCCTTGACCTAATTGTCCACTATTAATAGAATAGTGCCTCCTCCATGGAGGAAAACCCTTTTCCCTAAGAGCTTCCACTAGACTTCCCCCATGGCTCAGCCATCACACTACACTCTGACCGGGTGGCTCAGCCGCCACCCGCCTAGCTTAACCACCATACACCACCACTAGCACTAAGATGGCTCTCTCCAGCTATGGAGGACCATCTTAGATCTACTAGCTTATCTAACTTGACCGCTGGAGTACGCTCCCAAGGCACAGTCCCTGGGGCGGCTCTAACGACTTTGCACTGTAATGTCCAGATCTCCGTCGCAACAGAAGACCAGAACAGTCGTCGGAGGTCGATATCGCATCATTTGGCGCCATCCAGGACTCGAACGAGCAGAAATCATCTCGTTCTTGTCTAGATCTGCTCAGATTTGTCGTTTCAGCTAAGGTTTTTCTCAGATATGTTCATTTCTAGCACCATTTAGTTCAGATCCGTTTGGCTTTAGCCAAGATCTATTCAAATCGATTTGGTTCTTGACAAGATCTTTTTAGATCTGTCTAATCATCGTTCAGATCTCTTGATCTGCTTAGTTTTATGCACAGATCTTTTGATTTGCTTGTTTTTTCGCTTAGATCTTTTGATCTGTTTGAGTTTTCTCTTTTAGATCTTCAAATCTTCCCTGTTTTTTGCTTACATGTCTAGATATGTTTTGTTTTAGTTCATTTGAGCAACTCTCAAATCTTAAAAGACTTTATCAAATCTATTTTCGTTCTCAAGTTCAGAGGTGTAGATCTATTTTCGTCTTGAAGCTCAGATCTCAGGATCTGTTGAGTCCTTAACTCATCTGAATATTTATGAAGCTTGCAAAGACATTTTAGATCTATCAACGATTTTAGCTCAGATCTCCAGATCTGTACGTTTTTGTTCACTTATTCACCTCTCAAGTTTAAAAACACCAATTCAGACCCGTTTTACTTGTATTTTCGGGGAGAGAAGAGGTTATTTCGACCATTTCTCCATCTTTGTTCATATTTTGGTGTTTATCCAAACAACTTGAGAGGAGAAGAATTTTTTCGTGATTTTTTACCTTATTTTCAGTTTATGTTACAAAAAAATCACCTTAAGTTTGTGATTTCCTTTGCAAGACTCTTTTGATGTTGTTTACTTAGTGTTTTCCCTAAAAGCTTAGAGATAGAGACATGAAATTTTTTCTAGATCTATTCTTGCTCACATCTCGAGAAGCAAAGAAAGTTTATGGGAGGAAAACCCTATCAAATTCGTTTTTGTTTTGCTGTCTTTCCAGCAAGTTTGATCAGAAAAGAAATTTTGTTGTTTATTTAGTGTTTCCTTTGACAATCTAAAAAGCAAAAAAAGTCTTATAAACAAAACCTCACTAAACCCCATTTTTATTTATATCTTGGGGTTTCTTCAGCAAGTTTGAGGAATTTTTTTTGTTGTTTCTTTGATGTTTTCTTTAGAAAATTGAAAACAAAGAAAGAGGTTTTTTGTGTTATCTTTAGCAATTTTGATTTTCTATATACAACTCTGTTAAAGTTGTTTGTGTTATTGTAGAAAGTTCGGAGAAAAAATTTATGAGATTTTACTTTTATATATCATAAGAAAATCCTTTCCATTTGAAGTTTTTCGTATGTCTTTTTACCCATCTTTACAAGTGTAATGTTCATACACCCACTAAAATTTAGGGAAAATCGTTTGCTGTTGATCATATTTTTATGAAAAATACATGGTTTACTTTGATCCTACTTCAAAGATTTACTCAACTTTCCAGTTTACAGCTTAGTAAAAAAATAAGATGTATACCAAAAGCAACAGATCACAAGCTGAAAAAAGAAAAAAAGAAACCGTGTGTGCGCTTAGGCTATAGGGTGTAGTCACAAGATGTTCACCGAAAAAGTGATGCCACATATGCGTCACTTCACCTTCACTACATGTTTACTAGTCATTGGAAATGATTACTACTCCCTATTATTTATCTTTTTATTTATTTTTATTTTTTTGATATTATATTAAAAAAAACACAATTATTAAACCAAAAAATATTTTACCTATAGAAAGTACATTAAATTGAAAATAAAAACATAATTTATAAAATTAAATAACATTTAACTAATTTTTAAAATTAAATAAACATACAGGGTTAAATTTAATATTAAGGTAAGTAAAAGGGTATAATAAAATATAAAGATATACTTTCAAGGACCATAGTTGTAATTTTAATAAAAAAACAAAATTAAATAATTCGTTTGACGTCTTCTTAACCCGTTTTCTGCATACCCATTTTTTAAAATGATTTCTTCTTGACCCGTTTTCTGAAAAAACGGGTGGGTGTAGCCATGGATAAATCTTAAAGCTTCCGTCCCCTCTTTTTATACCATTTAATTATATATAAATTATATCTCCATTTCCTGTCAAATACGTCCACCAATCAAAAGCTCCCGTGAGAAGAGTCACGCCACCACACGAGGCTTGGGGATGGTGTTTCACGCGTCCTCAAGTATGCCCGATCGGATTTCACGCATAGAAACAGCCTCCATATCCTTCGGCCTTATTACTAAGATATATTAAATTATCTTTTACTACACTCAAAAGATACATCCTACCCTGCAACCTTTACAGACTACAAATTCTGTTTCTATCTCTCTCCTCTTAACATGGTGTTATAACACTATGAACACCACCCTCTCTTCTTGTTGCTTTTTGTCATAACACCACTTCACGTTGCCCATACCATATGCTCTAAGGATTCAATTAAGGTTTGGGTTTAAAACCCAAACCGAACCAGGAAAACCCAAGTACCCTTGGAAAAAAAATTAGGTTACCCTAAAAAAAAATTAGGATACCCCTTTACTTTGATTCTGATTTCGCCACTGTATTTACCCTCTGCCTTCTGCCGAATATATTTTCGTGGTCTTGCAATTACTCGACACGGAATGCGACTGAAGCTGAGATTCATGTGTCCATCCCCTAATTCCTGCAAAATCAAACAGTTCGAGATCAATTGTTGTGACCCTTGGATTTCATTAAGCTCAATCATGTGTCTCTATAATTAACTTAATGATTGTTCTGTTAAAAGTATTAATTAGATGCAATTTTCTTGTGGGATCAATCTATGCATTTATTTTGTATCTAAACCCGACGTTTCTGCATTATGCTTACTGACTTCCTCTTCTTATCTTTATGCTTGTTTTTGAATAATTTGTTCAGTCTGATGCACGACACAACAACAACCAAGCTTTTATATGTACAAAAGCAAATTCTGCTTCAATTATTCGTGAGAAAGTTGTCATTCTAGAGCCCATGTGTTACACCTTGAACATCAATTGCTCAAAATGCGTTGTTTCATATTAAATTAGTTTATTCTCTTGTGATTGGCTCTATTGTCTAGCAATTGTCACTTGGCCAATTGATTCGTCATATTAAAAAAGCATTGGCTTTTAAATTGTTCTCGATAAGTAGCTGTGATTATAGGATATAGATCCGGTAAGAAATTTTTTTTGGTATGAAGGTAAGAATTTTTTTTTCGATTTATCTTTTTGGTGAACAAAATAAATGAATCATTAGATGAATCAATAATAACATGATTCACAAAAAAAAATCCCGAAAAAACATTTCGATGATTCATTTTTACGATGCTTTTGTTGATATTCACTAAAATTGTCATAAAAGTGATTTTTTTTTAGATTTACCTAAAAATGAATCATAAAATTGTTTTTTCCGGATTTTTTCCTTGTGAATCATCTTACTTTTGAATCATCTAATGATTCATTTTATTTTTTTCCTAAGAAAGTATGTATATAAAAAATTTCTTACCTTCCTACCAAAAAATTTCTTCTTATTTGATCTTGACTCGTGATTATAATCCAAAAAGGTTTCATGATATCACTTTCATTTAGTAAAAAGCCGTTGCTTTTAAATTATAGCTGTGAAAAGTTCTTATATTTATGTTAATTTCAACCCATGAAACGTCAAAAGACTTTACTATATTCATTATCTTTTGGGTTATAATACTTTCCCTGTTTTTGTATCTTTTTCCCCATTAAATTTGGGTGCTATATTGATCTATCCCAGTTTTTAGTTATTTTTATAAGGTTTTTATATATTGTTTCACGAGTGACCATTGTTTCTTTAGGTCATTTCATGTGAATCTATTGGAGATGTTTTCTGACACACATGCTTTCGAAGTAAGACAACAAGGTCCTTTTTGTCATTAAGGCTTACAATGCACATTGTGATCGCACCTCTTATCCTCCAAACCATGTCACATATCAGTTTTTCTGTAAAATTCTGTCTTATTCAAGTGGATGAGACTCTTTGCTTGGACTTTGTAATGTAATAAATGCAATTTCCTTTTTATATACCATAGTTTAATAAAAGAATAGAATAACAAACAAATAAACAAACTGAGTGTTACATGTAATTTAGGGAGCAAATTGACTAGTAATATTGAACATTTTTCACAAATGTTACCATCAGTTATACTCATTAATTGATTTGATTTAATGGTAAAGTTTCTCAGTTTTTATAAAAAAAAAGGGTTTTTAAATAGTCGTGGACAAAAAAATAGTAGCCATTAATTTTAAGTAACAGAAGAAGCGCCCTGGACAAAAGGGTACCATTTTGATTTTGTGGACCAAATTATCCATTGACTTCAAAGTCTTTTAATTATGATAGTAATTTGCTCTTCATTTATTGCTTTATAAATCAACTTGTTTCCTCATCATAAGAACCAATCATTACACTTGAATCTTTTCTAAATTAAACTGAGTTGGAGTTGATAATGGGGAATCAAAGGGGTAGTTTGGGGCTTCATCTCATTTTCGTTTGTGTATTTTTGTTTGCAACTGCTTATACTTGTTTGAGTGTTGGAAATATGAGTGTTGTTTGCTCTGAGCAAGAGAGAGTTGCTCTTTTCAAGTTGAAACAGAGTGTCAAAGACGATTTTGAAATATTGTCATCATGGGTTGGCAATGACTGTTGCCTGTGGGAAGGAATCCAGTGTGATAGTGTCACTGGAACTGTTAAAAGTCTGCATCTGAGAGGAGATTGGGGATATTTTTCTTTAAGTGAAGGCTACTTTGACTATGTTGGTGAAGGCTACTTAGTTGGTGATGAGGTGAATTATTCTTTAGCGGAGCTGAGCCATCTTAAATATTTGGATTTGAGCGGGAACTATTTTCAAGGAAGCAGGATCCCCGAGTTCATTGGATCCTTGAAACAACTGATCTACCTCAATCTCTCTAATGCTGGTTTTCAAGGTATCATCCCTCCTCATATTGGAAATCTTTCTAATTTAAAGGTTCTTGATCTCAGTTCAAATTATGGGATGAAGGCAGATGATATGGCATGGACTTTTGGTCTTCCGTTACTCCAACATCTCGACTTGAGTTCACTGGATCTTAGTGGAGCAAAGAATTGGAACATGGTTTACATGATTCCTTCATTAAAAAGGTTAAGTTTGTCTAGATGTCGACTTTCCAACATTCATCTTTCTCCTTCTTTTAATTCGAGTAGAGTACTCCCCAACATTAGACACCTAGATCTCGGTTTCAATTATTTTAAAGGTTCACTACCTGGTTTTTTCCAAAATATTACATCCCTAGTATTCTTGGATCTTTCAAACTTTGATCTTAATTATTCATGGAACACTGCAAACTTGCTAAACGTGATCCCTTCTTTATTAGAGCTGCATGTGTCAGGTTGTGGCCTCCATAACACCCATCTATCTCACCCTCATCTTAATTTCAGCATAGTTTCTAACATCCAACACCTGGATCTTAGCGCAAATTCAATTGGAGACGTTTTTCCATCTGTTTTAACAAACATGAGTTCGTTAAGAGTCCTTGAAATTTCTCGAAACATGTTGAATTCATGGGTTCCTGTTATGCCCAACCTTCTAGAGCTTGGTCTTTCATCTAACCGGTTTAAGCAGATTGAGCATGTTGGAATCTGGAGACAGTGTTACTTGAAAATTTTGAGTGCGTCAAAAAATCCTTTTGATATTGAAATGATCGAATCACTACAAAACATATCAGAATGCACCCGATATGCTTTGGAGAGGTTGGATTTACATGAGAGTTTGTATGGTACAATTCCACAAACAATTGGAAGATTGGCGAATTTAAGAGGCTTAGATTTATCAAGGAGCGGATTGACAGGTCCAATCCCTAAATCTCTAGGAAGATTAAGATTTTTAGAAGTATTAGATTTGTCTAGTAACGAGTTAACCGGTCCCATTCCAACATTCCATGCGAAACTTGCTAAACTTGACCTTTCTTATAATCATTTGAAAGGTTCAATTCCAGAATCCTTTGGAAATCTATCAGGCTTAACTTATGTGGATCTTTCATTCAATCGATTAATGGGACCCATCCCTGCATCTCTTGGAAGACTTGTTTCATTACAAGCAATTTCGGTGTCTTCCAATTTCTTAAATGGGACAATTCCAGTTTCAGTTGGGCAACTTGCCGACCTCCGTTCTCTAGATATCTCTAACAATTCTTTAGAAGGAGTAGTTTCCGAAGCCCATTTTGCTAATCTTTCGATGTTAAAGAGCTTGGATACTTCTTTTAACACTAAGTTGATATTCAATGTTTCACGAGACTGGATACCTCCATTTCAATTGGTAGTTCTTCAAATCCGGTGTTGCAATATTGCAAATGGATTTCCACAATGGCTTCGAAACCAAATGAAACTTAGGGAGTTAGTGTTGTCCAACGCTACGATTACGGGACCTCTCCCTACATGGTTGAAAAAAATGCCAATTGTCCCTTTCTTAGAACTCTCTCACAACAAACTCAGCGGACCTTTGACAAATCTTCCTAATAGGAAGACTTTTGATGTGTATGGATATTTTATGGCTAGGGTATTATTTCTTCAAGACAACCTTTTCAATGAGTCGATTCCAAGGTCATTGTGCAGAAGGGGAGATTTAGATGATATTAATCTTTCGAGAAATAGGTTAACTGGTAAAATTCCCAAATGTCTCGGGAATCTGCAAAGTTTGCGTACTATGGCGTTTAGCTCAAATCGGCTATCCGGGGTCATTCCAAACTTTAATTCTTCATCATTACGTTGGTTACAGCTAAATAGCAACAACTTTATTGGTGAAATTCCTCAAGCATTGGGGAATTTACAAAAATTATTTTTCTTAGATATGGCTGATAACGCATTGTCAGGAAACATCCCCCAATTCATTGGCGAAAAACTTCCGTCTTTGATTGTTTTGAGGCTACGTCAAAATAACTTCAATGCAAGTATTCCTCAATCTCTTTGCAAAGCTTCAACTCTTCATATTTTGGATGTTGCTCACAACAACTTAACAGGAACCATCCCTCCTTGTTTAGGTGAGTTGAATGCCATGATTGTTAGTAGCAAAGTTGTTTCACGTTGTAAGGATTATGGAACTGGAGAGACTCTTGTTCAATTCATGAAAGGTGTTGATCTTGAATATATAAATGCTTGGGCAATGGTTTTTAACATGGATCTCTCGAGCAATAAACTTGTTGGAGAAATACCGGACGAGTTAACTGCACTTACCATGTTGATGGGTCTCAATTTGTCTAATAATCATCTCACGGGGGGTATTCCTGATACCATTGGAAACATGTTGAAGTTGGAATCTCTCGATTTCTCAAGAAATGAACTGACTGGGGTGATACCTCCAAGCATGGCAGCTTTGACTTTTTTGAGCCATTTAAATTTGTCACACAACAACTTGTCGGGACAAATTCCAGCTGGAAATCAATTACAAACCCTTGATGATCCATCCATATATGTTGGGAACAAAGATTTATGTGGGCCTCCATTGTTAAAGAATTGCTCAAATCATGAAAATCCAATTACAAGAATGCCCAAGAAGCAATACAATGCAAATGAGTTATGGTTTTATGTGGACATAATGAGTGGCTTTATAACAGGATTTTGGGGTATTATTGGAGTTTTATTGTTCAAAAAGAAGTGGAGACAGAATCTTTTCACGTTTGCTGAGGAAACCATGGACAAGATACTCATTGCAGTCATCATAGGGGTTGCCAAGATGAAGAAAGTAAGAGAAGGCGCATAGATCCTCTGGCTCAATGTATACTTTGCTTTCGATTACTGCTGTATAGTGATTATTTATAGGTTTAATTGGAGTTTATATTTGTATGACATTTGTAATATCGGTGTTGCCTAAAGGGGCCTGTTTTGATTTTTTTGTTGGATTATTGTCGAATTGAACCCCGTTGGAATTCGCAAGATCCACGAGTATGGATGGATCAAAGGTCAAGATTTATGTTGGAATTTGTATTCATCTGCAGTGGTCGTGATCTTGGTTGATGTTTTTACTTATTTGTTTCTTTTCCAATTTTCCTATGTGAATGTCTTTTCTTTTTTGTTTCTTGCACATTGTACATATTTCCATATAATAGTTATTCCATAAGATTTAAGATATTGATCCATCGCACCACTTGACTTTTAACATCATTGTACTGGTTTTCGAGTTGGGTCTCAGCTCCTTTTGCAGTGTATTGATCCATATGGTAGTCATTAAGTTAGTTTCTTTTATGTATGTTCGCATGAAAAAAAAAAAAAAAAAACCTACAAGTGGAGGTTTGTAAATGAAATGGTTGCTACAAGTGAGCTCCACACATAAAGAAAGTTTTTTCCAAGGTTTGTGGTAATGTAGCTGCGATGCCCAACAAAAGGTATGTACGTGGTGCTCGAGCAAAAGGTCTACAATGTATTCACCAATCACGTTGTGATCCTGTGAGCCATGTTAAATCTTTATGTTCATTATTTGATTCGCATCATTAAAATCATATTTGTTTATCCGTTCTTTATACTAACATAACGTTTTTCAAAACCTTACATTTGTGTCTTTTGTACAAAACAATTTGCCTTGCAAGAGCAATTGAATGTTTGTTAGAACATCAACGTCACCAACCTTGATATTTGTACAGTTACCGAAGGTTGTCTTGAAAGAAAAAAAAAATATATCAAGGGCTGTAGAGGAGTACTCTTATCGTCTTTAACCGAGTTCAACGAAAGGAAAGAATGCAAATATTTTAAATGTACTTGTGTTGATACATGTATGTGTATAATTATAAATTTAAGTTTACTAATATATATAATTTATTTTTATTCGAAATAGTCCCAACGTTAGGGAAATTTATATATATTTGTACATGTGATGCTGTGAATATGATTCTTTTAAAATATGTACGTAAAAGAAACATCATTTAGTGAAAAATCATTAAAGATAAATTTTATCACTTGTATTATTTTGTAAAGCCAATTTCGATAAATTTTAATGCACCTTGTTATTTTTACGATATGCGCATGTATATAAATTTTACCTTATAATAATATTATATTTATAACTTTTTATACATTATAGTGATCAATAACATATTCAACAACTTAAAATTTTATATTACTGTATTTTAATGCCACGTTATATGCCAAGTAAATGTTGAAGTGAACTTTTTAATAATTTAATTTGCCAAATACCAATTTTCATAAATTTCCTACATGTTTTAGATGTTTCTTGTATACCTCTTTTCTACCCTCTTGCTTCATCCATCCATGTTTCTTAGGCGTATTATTATTATTATTATTATTATTATTATTATTATTATTATTTTTCCTTTTTGATCTTAAATATCAAGATTGGATTTATTAGAAAAGCAATAAAATTATCAAAGAGCCAGGAGAAAAAGTTAAACATAACAAGCTAGGAGTTGATTTTTAATCCACTCTCGATTTTAAGCCCTTTACCCCTACTCAAACCCCAAACAAAAGATTGTGTAAATAGCAAGTCAAATAACCTCGTCCAGTTTGAGATTGGCATCGTTTGAAATCCTTTCCATTCTAGAATGTCTTCTGCCAATCCATATCCTTCCAATCAGATGAACCCTTTCATGAAGCTTACACGTTGATTACTCCCTTCTAGCCTCCCTTTCTCCCGATGATTTTTTTTTTCACAATTTAGGTCCACATTAAGTCCGATTCATTGTCATATGTCAGTCTCCCTTTAAAATGACGCTCAGATTTAGCGGCTTATAGGTTCGCATTTGCCAAACATTCCATGTTTTTAAGGCCTTTAAAATGACGCTCAGATTTAGCGGCTTATAGGTTCGCATTTGCCAAACATTCCATGTTTTTAAGGCCGGAGGGAATGAAGTATGTAATGCCATGCCGCCACATCTTGATTTTTCTGGAAAAAAAATTAGAAAAAGAAAAGAAATACTCTCTCTCTCTCTCATCGGCATTCAAATGTCGTTCAACAACCAAATCCTTGGCACACCACAATAAGGGGGCAGTGTGTGCTGAAATTGTCGAGCATATGCCGAACATTTTTGTCGGCCACTTCTCCATGTCTAATATAGCAATAGTTTTTGCTCCATTTTATCCAAACCATCTTCTTTTATCATACTTGCCACCCTAGAAAAACTGGCATAATCTTTTGGGGATGCTGACTACTTTCCTTAGGGAATAAAAGCATGAGAAAAAAGTATCTGGCTACCAAGAGCACCTTTACAAACAATTAGTTGTCCCATAACCGAGAGAGCATTTTCTTTCAAATTAGACATTTTTTTTTGAACTAATTGATGATTGGGCGCCATCCTTCAACATGGGTCATATTTGTAAGAAAAAGAAGTGTTTGTAGTAGAGATCTGGATACCAACTTGGATCGTGTGAACACTTTCCAAATTGATATTTCTAGCCTATATTTGGGTTACAAGAAATTTAATCTAGGATAATCCAAGAGGACACTTACAATTATAGGCACAGAAATCGTAAGCCAAATTACGAGAAGGATTCTATGAGTGCTTGAAGAAAAACAAGAGCTAATTTCCGTGTGTCTTCTCTCAAAAGGAAGAGGCATTTATATAATAAACGAGATTAGCATTTCATTAGGGTTGGGCCGTCATGAGTTGCTTTTGAAGCAAGTCAAGGTAATCCGGATTTTAATGAGGATTTAGGGTTTCCTAAACTAACGAGTTTTGTTAGTTTTACCAGCTAAGGGCTCTGCCCCTTGGACCCCACAAGGGTTGCTGCCCCTAAACCTCGTCAAAGGGGCAGTGCCCCTTTGTAAACCCCAGACCCAGGGGCGCTGCCCTCGGACCCCAACTTGTCGTCAAACCGGCTACTAATTTGATCTTATATATTCGTGCACTACGCACAAACTCGTACATATATTAGAGTAAAAATCATGAAGCCTTTAGCTCACATGTTAGTTCCAGTTACATAAAATGACATCGTGATACTAAAATCACAAACAATATTGTCCTAGATCGAAAGCAAAATATATGAAGATTTAAGTTTTTTCGACTTATCATTCCACACTGACACTATGATAATTTTACTTTTTTGGTTGAGTTGATTTTCAAACCCAAGACAAGATACAAGCATCTCAGGATACAGAAAAGCATTTCTGCACCCTTTGGGGACCTTTGACACATAAGAAACGTATCTTAAATGAAAAATAAGTGGGATTCCCTTTGACAAATTCTTTATTTGTAACATCCATCAAAGCCACATTATCGGTTATCTTTATTCTTAGCCTGAAATCTCTTTCTCTCAGTATGTATGTGTGTGTGTGTCTATATATATATATATATATATATATATATATATATATATATATATATATATATATATATATATATGTGTGTGTGTGTGTGTGTGTGTGTGTGTGTGTATGTTTGTGTTTTGGTCAATAACCGATAAACTAATTTTGTAACCAAATTAATAAGTATGGTGTCATGTTATAAATGAAATGTTGTCAAATATTGAGGATCTTAAAATATGGTGAAGATGTTGGTTGTGCCCAAGATCCTAGGAATAAACCAATAATGTTAATAAGTTATTTAAAAATGTTGACTTGATATAAGGTATAAGCACATACATTTTTAAGCGTTTTGACAAATATATTGTAAAAGCTGGAAACTTGTTGAATAAGACAATATATAATAAGATTAACAAAAAGTGCCCAAGGATATAACGAGATTTACGTGAAATTGTTGTATGTGTGAATGTTGTGATCAAACAACCAACCAAATGTAAATCAGGTAAATGCAAGAACACAGAGTTCTAGGAAGAGAGCCTTTAATCCTTTAGGATATCCGACATAAAACCTCGTGAGGTGACAATGTCATGCTGCCCTAGAATTCTTATTAAATAATGTGTTACATGTGCTACCTGACCATGTTCTTTATGTCAATGTACTCAAAATTGTTCAAAGAAAAAGAAAATGTAGATGTCAAGACATGATCCTTTTAACTCGGTTCTTCCCTTTCTATTGAAGTCTTTGCTCCTACATATGATATTATATAAAATACAAAGGCAATCCGAATATGTTAATTAATCTCAAGATCTTGGGCTACCCAAGATGTTATCAAAAGTTCAAGTATTGTTAATAATATAAAGAAAAAAATTTAACTCATAACAATTGACCCTACAAGTATTCAATCTAGGATCTGGAGAGTTGGAGATTTCTAGAATTAAAAATTACCCATCTGAAGCAACGGGGCCATTGTTTGATTTCCCATGAAATTTGAATTTTGATCCGTTGGCTAGATATCCCTCCATTTACAAATTTAGTTTAATCTTGCTTACTCTCTTGTTCCATGCAAGCATTTAGTAGGTAATCCTTCCTTTTTTTTCTCTTCACCGATTATCTCATCTTTTGCTCTGGAAAAATCCTTCCTTTTTGCTCTTCACCGATTATCTTCATCTTTACCGATTCTAAAATTAAGTTCCTTTAATCAGAAAGAGATTATCTTCCAAAGACTATTTTTAAATCTTCTGCTTACTGTTTAAGACTTGGTTATATTACCCAAAGAAAAACTAAGAGTTGTAATTTTGTATCTTCTTTTTCCTTTCCATCGCTAGTTTTAGAATTTTTAATCTTGACAAAAAAAATTTATGCCCAAATCATGCCTATGGTTTGGAAAATTTTATTTTGAGTAGATCATCTTATTAGGACTGAAAACATCAGTGGTTTACCTGAAATAGCAAGTTTTATAATCTTCGAACATCTTGGTTTACCTAAACTAGCAAGTTTTTTTTTACTCTTCA